TTCTGCGAACTAATTTTTTTAGTGCCACCACAGAGTTTGATAAGGTTTTGTAGAAGAATTTCGACCATAGGATCCAGTCCAGGCCCAGCAGTTCGAGCAATTTCTTGAACGACACTACACCCTTCTTTTGAAAGACTAGTTCTCAATGAATTAACAGCTTTCAAGATACCATCCAGAAGGCTTTTGATACCAGCAAGGAAAGCATCATGATAGTCGCTTGGGGCGTTTCCGGCGTTCAATCTTCGTAACTTTGTACAACTTTGTTCTCTCTTAAACCAATTTGCTTCAGACTCCTTGTCTTGAAACCATTGATGCATTTCTTGAAAAGTTTCCTCCAATTCCCTTTGTGTATTCACATATGCAGGGTCTACTTGCTCAACTCTGACTTCTGGTGTTGCTGGTCTTGAGACGTTCATCGCAGATGCACTACTAGCTAAAGGGTTTCGCATAGGGACTTCAGTTCTTTCCGGTTCCACCACTACTGGGGCTCCTCCTTGTATAAGTTGACTCGTGATAGCTGATACGATCGCTGGTCGAACGTTGAAGTTCTTCAACTGCTTCTTGAGATCGGATTTGGCTCCATTGGGGGCATTTCTGTGGCAATTAGGATATGAAAGTAATATGGCCGATGGAAAGAGACTTACTGGAATAAGGTGATGACAGTGTTTCTCGCAGTATCTCTTACCATGCCATCGGCATCTTCGAGTAGCTCCATTAGTGTAGTTACAAAACTTTTGAATGCCATTCCATGCTCTTGGTGCATCTATTTGATACGACAGTTAGAAAGTGTAAACAACCCCGCGCCAAAATACATCTGTTTACCTGTACAATCCAATTCATTGAATTTTCTTTCATCCTCGAGTTCTTCCCTATCAGTCCTGCGTTCTTCACAATTCTTTCCACATCCATCGGCGCATTTTTCCAGAACGTCGTAAGACATTGCGCAGCAAGTTGTCGATATTTCTCCCTCTGATCGCCCATCTTATCATTTATCATTGGCAGAGTTCGGGCAGCTTCCTTGACAATATATTTTGGTTCCTGGCGTGACAATCTGGTGAGGAGATGATTGAGGGTAGAGAACCCAGCGTTGACTAGTGCGGCATGCTGCGACGACATTGCTATGCGCAAGGCTTCGAATAGTGAAAGTATGCATGGTTCTGGAACGTTATGTTGTTTGATACTGGATTTGATGTTGTTGATCTGATTGACCTTCGAATCTATCAAAGCATCTGTTCGAAGTATGGCCAGCAAGTTTGCTACTTGATCTTCGGTGATCTTTTCACCCATGATTGAGGTGGGGTGAAGTTGAAGAAACCGTAAATATCAAATCAGGATATGTGCCTATCTGTAGATGAGATGTGCTGTCAGTGATTTTGAGAATAAAGGAGGTTATGCACAGTATGGCATTCGGTTGGTGAAGAGATGATGATGTAGCACAATATTCACATTAAGAAATTATGAAATTTGGAGACACTTACGATGATGTTGTACGTTGGTATGTAACTCTCAAAATTCCCTTTGGAGATAAATCTGTCGCGTCAAAACAAATTATGGTTGCCCGGGCAGGGGGAGCACGGACTAGTCTCAGAGCTTCCATTATTATAAATACGATCAGACCCCAGCAAGAGGAGATAAGCCAGTCAGATTGGCTCATTGGTAAGAGACATGAACATTTCTATCCCTCTCATTGGACATGGAAATACTCTTGTTGACAACCTTGGAACCTATCATCTCAATATTGATTCCTATTCAAGAAGCAAAGAAAGCCCTTTCAGCCATTCTCATTTGGCAATATATCAATCAACAAACATCTACAGCCTGTCTCCTTACCGCATCTGAGTCCTCAACTTGAAAGAAGCTCATCCCTCTGCTCCATCAACAAGGTCAAGCTAGGAGACTAAACACGGCACTCATCACTCACTCCATTACCGACATCACCCAGCACCTATTCAACCTTCATTATTGCAATTCCGCATAAGAAGATCAATGCAACACAGGATCCTTGCAAGGAGTGACCTTGTCCTAAACCTTATCCTTCGATCCTTTGAACCCTACATATCACCCGCATAATGCCCACTTCCCCCGCAACCAGCCCGGTTCCTCCACCTGTATTCATGCCTCAATTCTCCAGCACCTCACCGGCTCCAACTCCTATACCGATGCCTCCTTCGAAAGAAAAGCCGGCTTCAAAGCTTAATAAAGATGACAGTTCCAATCCGTCTATCAAATTTCCTCTACCCAAGTTACGCCTCGAATTGCGGGATCTCAATCATGCAGGATCGCATACTTTCTTGACCGCCGTTATAGCGAACGAGGCTCTACAGACAGCAGTTCAAAGCGTTCTCACGCTACTATATGAGTCTCCTGATTGTCCTACCACAACTCCGACTCCAACTCGATCGGTGACCCTGATACTCCGATCCATGGATGGTGTGGCATATACAACAGGTAGCGACCTTGACAATGACCACAAGGAGATACATTTATCCCTAGATTACATACAGCACGAATCAATTAAGCCAGATCGAAAGAAGCATGAGATCATGGGTGTGTTGACTCATGAAATGGTACATTGCTATCAATACAATGGATTCAACACTTGCCCTGGTGGCTTGGTTGAAGGAATTGCAGATTGGGTTCGATTGAACGCCAATTTGAGTCCACCTCATTGGAAAAGAGAGGCTACCGGGAAATGGGATGCAGGTTACCAACACACCGGCTATTTTCTTGAATATCTGGAACAGAGATTCGGTAAAGGTACAGTAAGAAGGGTGAATGAAAAGTTGAGAGTTGAGCGATACGAGGAGAAACGATTCTGGACTGAACTTTGTGGAAGGCCGGTAGAACAGCTTTGGAAAGATTACTCGAAGCATCTGGAAGCAGAGGAGAGGAAAGCTGAAGAAGAAGAGTGTGTGATTGTGGAAAAGGAAGATGCTATAACACCCACAAAGTCCAAGTCAGAAGGGGATAAAGTGGCGCTTGCCACAAAACCGGAGGAAACGAAAGATAGCCCCACAAACACTGAGCAGCCTGAGTGAATTTCAGAGACGCTTTTTGAATCGATATATCATTCTCTACGAATCTCAACAACAGGCTTTCTCCATCACTTCACCCGATGCATATAGCATGTTTCACATCAATGTTTATCTGAAGATGTTCAAGATGAGCTTGTACAATTTAGAGGGTAATTTTCAACCAAGATTGCGATTATTCACAAGGTTCAATCATTGGCTAACTTGAACTGTTATAGAAGGGCAGAATACCATAGAATGATACAATTATATTATGATTATACATTATATATTTTTATTACCTCCACCTATGTCCATACCATTCATCGCGATCTCTAATCCACTGTATCTTTCCTATTTGCCTCATCTCTACTGTGTATCCGTCGTTTGCCTAGATGATTTCGAACTCAATGGCTATGGGTAGGAGACGAGAACTAATAGCATGCCCCAAATCCAAATCTATGGCCGAAGACATCCGCTAAATGGAATCTTTGTCCGAGGTCCAATTCTGGAATCTCACAATCTCCGTTTCCATTTCTCATGTCGCTGGCATACTTGTCGAACGATGTTTTCAGGTCCAACTCATTGTGGTACATATCATGTACAATTGTTATTGTTGCGGTAAACTTTTCAGAAGCAAACTTTGCATCTTCCAAAGCCTGCTTGAGTCCTACTACAAAGAAAAGATTTTTGTTTCTCTCGGCGTACGCATTTCATACTGTTATAAACCCTTCCATAAAATTTTTGATGCTTGAAAATTGTTCGAAAAAGGGCTCATCACAAGCGGGAAGCAATGATGCTATTTCTTGCAATTTATCTCGGGCCGAGGAAGATGGTACGATACTTGATGTTGAGGATGCAGAGCCGGTAAGGGTTACGGAAGATCCAGAGGAAGAATAGGGCGTGGCTCCATGAACTCTTTCATGATTGCAATCTGATGTTAGCGCGATGTGACACTTTTCGACGGCAATGGGAACATACGACATATCACTTTTGAATTTGAGATTAGCATCGCTTAGTTCTCTATTCCGGATTAATAATTGATGGAACTCTTTGTGAAAGTCGGCATAAACCTCTGAAAGACTCTTCTCTGTCGATACTGTGGACGGACGAGGAGGTGGACGAGAAGGTTGGACTTAAAGATCCGACCGATGGCACTGGGGTGTGTCTTGCAGCCATGCTTTCGAATTATGTTCGATACTGAGGATTTATGAGGTTTCTATCAGGGGCCTATGAGGATTTTCAGCGGAAGCCGAAGACATTTTTATATCATGTGCAGGATTTCCGGGCTAATAGTAGTCATCGCTCCTCGGAAGTTATGCAAAGACTCTAAATTGTACTTATTGAATCTACTTCTAGATTATGTTGACTAGGTTACAGGATACTTTTCCAGACGTCATTCAAGATTGACAATTCCTAGATTTGAGATCTCATGATTGACATTCTCAAAACCGAAGATTGATATGATAATTGCCAGGAATAGACTTTTATTATATCATGTCTTTTTCACGTAGCGTGTCGCTAACTGGATAAGGGGAAAGTTAAAAGAAACCAACTACCGATGGGACATAAGTACAAGTAGATAACCAGGCTCAGATGAGGCATGAAATCATGATTCGTTCTTCCCCCCCCCCCCCCCCCCCCCACACTTGGCCTTGCTTTGGGACTTTTAGCTTATCGATAGACTTTCCAAGATTATGCCAAAGTGGAGGTTTATATCTCTGGCCCATGAAAAGTAGTCATTGTACTGTACCGTACATACGTAGTGCACCAACTCAATTGTACATATGCAATGCGAGATAGATGAAATCGATAGACGAATCTCCCCAGAACACGCAAACAGTATGAAACCAAAAATGGCTAATGGTTGGCGTAAGCAAGGAATGCTTTGTTTCCTCTTCCCTTCAATATTGGATATGTCGATGAATTGAGAGAACTTTGAAACCTCCTAGACATGTATTACGCATTCTCTTCCGTCGTATGCCGGTCTAATTGGGAAATTCAATATCGCGTGCAAATGGCAATACCACCATACAAGACAGGGCTGCCAGCTTCCTCATGGGTGTTACTTTGAGCGGTTATCAAGCGGCACAGTCGAATTCCAACTATTTACAGTAGTGTGGAGTTTACTTCCCCTCTCCCCTCTCCCCTCAAACTCTTAGACGCCTCTTTTGTCAAACCAAAATCATTCATTCCGTGCTCCGTTTTAGTCTGCCGAGTCTGCCTCTGCTCTAAAGGACTCTTTATATAGAACGACAAACGTCCCATCCATCTCTTAATATTGTACCTATTGTTTCCCTCTCTCTCTCTCTCTCTCTCTCTCTCTTTTTTTGTCTCTAGGTTTTCATGTAATTCAAATTTCCAGTTTTTTGATTAACCCAAAATAAATTCCAAAAATGCCTTTCATGTTTTCACCAGGTAAGTAATTACTCAATGAATGTACGGCACGGCATATTGCCACAATTTAAGTCCGTGATATTCATTCACACCCGACACACACACAAGTTACAGCACCCCAATTCTTATCCTGTGATAGGTGAAGATCACCCGATAACCCTGCAAGTAGTGGCGGTGTTTTTTGTATACGCAACCTCATAAGAGGCAACCATTTATCATTTCAATACCCAAAATTCCCACTACTTTCTCATCCTTCCCTTCTCCCTGAGAGATTCCCTTCAATCTCTCCATCAATACATTTCCCTTATCTCACAAAGTTTATTGAGGGAACATGCCTAATCATCCCGTTTTGGTTTCAGGTGCGGTAATCATAGCTGCTGTGGCTGTAGGCGTAAGTTTCCCCTCTTTTTACAGAATCCATGCAATGCACAACGAAGAAATTCAAGAACTAATAGAAACAACAGGCGGCGATAGCAGTATATGAATCACCACAAGCCCGACAATTCGCTGAAGATGTTCGTCGTAGAATCGCAGTCGCATTACATTCCCTTGGCGATGAAATCAATCCGAATAGTCGACAGCCCCGTTTCAACCGACCTGAGGATGCAGAGGGTTTTATGCAGAGTGCTTCGGAAGTGGGCGTAGATGCCGATGAGGATAGCAGGAGAAAACAGAGAGAGGAATTAATGTATTGGAATGCAGTACGCATGGAAAGAATGGAAAAAGAGCAAAGGATGGATGAGAAGAGACCAGCAGGAAACCCGAGTCGAAAGCCGAGTTTTGAGGATTTCTTGCAAGAGGATCCTAATGCTGAGAAGGGCACTTTCGTTTACAATACTGGTACAGATTTGAATGGTCAAGCTGAAGAGGGTCTCACCCATCGACGCGGCGTTCGAGGTTTAAATCGATCGACGATCTACGCAAATCCATTTGCAGATGAGCACGGTATTGATAGCGAGGAACAACAAGCTATGGATAGAAGTTTAATGTCTCCCGGAGACGGCGAACAATACGAATCGGACTCTGAAGGATTATACAGTTGCCACGAAGGCCGAAGTCGATCCCGCTCTCGACAAAGTACCTCCACTCTCTCACCAGCAGAACCAATAGCCCACGAAGACGCCGAAACGCTTGTTGATCTTTCCGAACCATTCAACCCAGATCTACCAGTCTCTGTACCTACCCTTGAAAATTTGGAAACTGAGCCAACTTACACTGCAAGAGCACAAGACAATGAAAATCCATTTGCATCCATTCACGCCTGGGCCGATCATACCGATAACGCAACTGGCTTTTATTCTCCTCTGCCTGTCACACCTCACGAACGCCCTTCAACTCCAACCGCCACCCAGAGCGCTCAAGTTACTCCCCCATCGCCCACCATCTCCGATCCCGATTATTCCTCCCTCGAGTCCCTTGATGGAGATGGAATGATTACTCCAACAGATTCCGCATCGTTAGCTGGTTCTGGCGAAGAAGTCTGGCACCCAAGAAGCGGCGCTACCAGTGACGCCGATGTCATGAGTGTAGATGACGGTATCGTCACACCTGATAGCTGGTCGGAAATCGGAAGCTTAGCAAGCGAAGATGAAGTACACCATTAATCATTCGTATCAACTCATACATTACCAACACGTATTGAGAAGCTACAACATCTACTCACTCACAAAGCATGCGGTCTATAGCAAGCGTAGGAGTTGCATTCGGCGTCGGATATATACTAGATGTCATATCGTACAGAAAGTCCATGGGAACCATCACAATTAGCTAGCTGCAGGAACAGTAAATTTGGAGGCAACACAGTTTGGGAATACAAGCATGGCGTCGGGATCAAGGGCAAATGGGGAATCGGGTTAAGGTTGGCGTATTGTAGTGGACATATCTAACTGTCTCTAAATTGATCGATTGACATATAAATTTATTCTGAGATTTACGATTCTTTGGTTTGATGGGGCAGGGTGTTGGAATGGATATTTTGATTCGGTTTGCTATTAGTGCGGAATTCAATTTTTTATGTGATGATGATGTGATATGATTGTATACCTACCTACCTATGTTACAATAGATAGTATACATATGAACCCTTCTATCTCTATTGTAATTTTGATATTCATAAAGATTCAAAAGAAATATTCAAAAGGATTTTATTATCTACTGGTAATTTTGGTTTGAACTATTACAAAAAGTTATAATCCAACTCTCGATATCCTATATCGTTTATAATTAAATATAATTACAATCTTTACAAAACGAGCAGGTATATATAAGTACATACAAATTATACAAGAAACATAAATAAAAATAAAAATACACAACTCCCCATCCCCATCCCCAGCCCTCAAGCCGGCACCCCCTCATACACCGCACCCTCTCTAACCCTCCGTCTCCTCTTCCCCTCACTCTTCCTCCCCAAAACGCCCTTCCCACAATTCACACACAGGACGAGAAAAAAAATGAGCAACACGATAATCGTCGCCACCAACGGCACAATCACGGCTCTCTCTCTCGTATTATCGTCGGCCTCTTCATCGCTATACGGACACGTGGTATTTGGACCGCCAGTGGTCCAGCAATTTTTCGTATCGAGAGAATTAAAATCGAGCCAGATTTTCGGGTCGTCGGCGTCGAGGTCGCGGGCGGGAGAGAGGTTTGTGACGGTTTGGGTGAGGTATGCGTTTTCGAGGGCGGTGCGGGGCGCGGAGAAGAGGTAGGGGGAGGGGCAGGCTTGCGCGGCGTAGGAGTAGGAGATGGGGTAGGTGGTGAGGGTCCAGTTGTAGGGTTGTGAGGGGGCGCGGCAGGCGGCGTAGAGTTTGCTGGAGCAGTCGGTTACGTGCCAGTGGGTGGTGGATGGGTGGAGAGTGGCGCAGCGGAAGAGGGGGTCGTCGCTGTCGCTGCCGCTGGCGTTGGAGGAGCGGGGTTCGTAGGGGGCCCAGGACCAGATGGTGGAGTAGGTGTAGTTTTGGTAGGGGAGGTTGTTGGTGTCGGCGGTGGTGTTGAGAAGGGTTGTGTTTAGGGTTGGGGATATACCACACTGTGTGAGAGAGGATGTTAGGTTGAGGAGAGAAGTCAGGTTGGAATTCGAGTTTGTGGGATAGTCGAATCCGGGTATGTTTGCCGCGGTTGCCCAGGATGAGTTTACTTGAGAAACATCTTCGGTGGCATTAACAAGGAAGCAACCGGTTTCCACTACGCCATCAGCACTGACTAATGTGTCATTGTCGCGGCGGTTGCTGAGATAGTTTGGGGGGAAGATAGTCCCTGCATCTCCACTGAAATTATAGTTTTCCATTTGAGGATCCACAGAGCCAAATTGTAAAAGCATTCGTTTGCCTTGAGAGAACTCAATGTAAGATTCTGACGGCCAACCATCTTCAGTCGATATGATGCCGAATTCTTGCGTGACGGTAGTATAATAATCTAAAGCAGGTCGATATCTTTCTATAACTTGATACCAAGATGTATTTAAATTTGCCCGATTGGACCTTAGATCATTTGGCGTATAGATGTATGCTGATAAATTTGCCGCGAAGAGGAACTCTAAAGATTCTGACGGAGCTGGAAGGTCGGTTGGCGGAGGGGCAGGGTCATCAATGCTAGAGCCAGTCTTTGCTGCGTGGATATTGAGAGTCAGTATCAGCATATATGCATCAATCGTATTTTGTGTTTCTTGTATGTAATCCAATAGAATACTTGTTAGCAAATGTAAGCTGATAGTATTAGTACAAGTGTAACTTCCAATATTATACAGCGATTTTTTCGAAGTGTTTGGGATTGCAGAGGCTACAGGTAGCGTTGATTCGAGAGAGCTTGCTATTACGTTCGCTGCAGACACACCATGGGAAGTAGGTCTTGAACTAAATGTACCATCTACATCTGTCATACTAGGTGAAGGAATGATGGAACTCGTGGCTGCATTCTGCCTAGGAATCAAATCTGTAGTTTGCTGGGCTAAAGTCAAACTGGCTATGGTGGATGAAAGCGTCGATGTTGGAGTTGATGTAGGGACAACATCCGAGCTCGAAACTGGTACGGCAACAGGACAAAAAGTCCATAATTGCCTTGCTTCATCCCAATATAAATCCACTTCCAGTCTCCGGAATCCATTGGCTAATAAGTTGGAAATGCAAGTAGCCGCATCACTATCCTCATATTTGAGAAATGAGAAACATGCGGCCGTCAAAGAAATGCCAGGAGCCGTAGCATAATTGATTGGTATATTCAATCCCAAATCTCTTTGTGACTAGGAAATAATTTAGCAAGAGTGCCCATGTTGATCCGATCAGAAGAGCATAACACACCAGAAATGCTATATCGTAAGGAGACTCCGGTAAAGCAGCATTATCTGGTTTATAACTTTCACTCATTTTACAAAGTGAGTGTCAATGTCTGCCTTCTACTCAATTATAACTGCGAATTTTGCCCCTCTGTTTTCTTTTCCATCCGAAGCATCCGAATGACTGAATGCTGTCATAGCTTGTGAACGGTCACCAAGGGGTATTTTATGAAGTCAAGAGAAGAATGAAAGAAGGAGAGGATTATGCTCAACCAATATAGAAATGGTCAATCATCCTTATAGTAGACTCCAGATGATGAAATAGGTTTAGATAAAGGTTATAGAACCTAAAAATGTGAAGTTCTTTTTTCATTTTGTCATTTTAGCTCTTTTCGGATAGCCGATTCGATGATGAAGGAGGTTTAGGAGATGAGCTCGATTCGGCGATTCTGTAGCTTGGATGCCTGAGGACGCTAATGCTGCTGAATGCCGCGCTGATGCTCACATTCCTTGTCTAAGCTCGGAAATCATGTTACCCTTGCTGCCTTGAACAAGCCGTGCACCGAAGCTCCGTGCACCGTTCATGCCAGCATGCCTCACGAGTTACCTAGGTACAGCTTACCTCATCCATCCATCCATCGTGCCTGTTAGCGTCCGCCACATTGTGTGGCTGTATAACCCGATTTATACCCACACTAAAAATAAAGATTTGGACAGATAAGTTTAATCAATCTTTATTCACTGATTCACGCACTCACTCATTCACTCACTTCAACCACATTTTTGCTGTAGAAATCCCCCTTACATCAACTACATATTGTATTCGCTTTTACAGTTTCCAACATGGATTCTCCAAACGCAGATCCCCAACAAGGACCACCACCAGGACTAGGTCAGATTCAATTCAGATTACCAGATGGTTCACAACCAAGTCCGGAACAAATACAGATGATGCAACAGCAAATCGCTCAACAGGCACAACAACAAGGATTATCGATACCTGAATTCATAGCAAAGATGAATGCGCAAAACCAAGCCCGACTACAAGCTCAACAAGCCCAGCAGCCATCTCCAGAACAAATTCAGGCCATGCAGAAGCAACTAGCTCAGGATGCTGAAAAGGCTGGAATGTCTGTACCTGAATTTGTAGCGAAGATTAAGGCGCAACAAGCTCAGCAACAAGCTCTACAACAAGGCCAACAGCCATCTCCGGAACAAATTCAGGCCATGCAGAAGCAACTAGCTCAAGATGCCGAAAAGGCCGGAATGTCTGTACCTGAATTTGTAGCGAAGATTAAGGCGCAACAAGCCCAGCAACAAGCTTTACAACAAGGCCCACCACCATCTCCAGAACAAGTCCAGGCGATGAAGGAGAAATTGGCTCAAGATGCAGCAAAAGCTGGTATGACTGTACCCGAATTTGTGGAAAAGATAAAGGCGGATGCAATGGCCCAACAGCAGAAACAAAGAGAAGCTGCAATGGCCCAGCAGCAGCAGCAGCAACCTCAGCCAATTCAACCAGGCCCTCCAAATCCAGCAGCTATTGCCCTCGCAAACTTCTTGATGAGTCAGGACTTAAAAGCGAGAACATGTATCTTGAATGGTCAGAGAAAGGACATGTTCAAAGGTAAGCATTTTCACTACCATATTAGAACTATTTTCTAACATGCAATCACAGTGAAACGTGCTCTCCGAGCCATTCAATCACCAGCTTATGAAAAAGCTCGCAAGAAGAACCCACTTCTCCCCGAAATTACTGATCGCGCCTCTCTCGAAAATTGCTTCAAACTTCTCCCACTTTCTCTCCTTGCACTTCGTGTTTCTAAAGTCGACCCTCATGAAGGTCATGATCATGCCCCTGGTGCTCACAACACAAAGCGGGTGAAAGGGCTTTGGACTGTCAAAATCGAACAACAGCAAGAATGCAAGGAAGAGCTTCATTTCGTATGGCTTTATGAAGGTGCACAAATCAAACAGAAATTATACGCTGCTGGAGCATTAGCGATTGTGTTTGCAATTGTCATGTTCCCACTTTGGCCAATGAAGATGAGATTGGGTGTTTGGTATCTAAGTATGGGTATGCTTGGATTGTTAGGATTGTTCTTTGCGATGGCAATTTTCAGATTAATTCTGTTTGGTATTACAATGTTTGCAGTACCTCCTGGATTGTGGTTATACCCAAATCTGTTTGAGGACGTTGGATTCTTTGACAGTTTCAGACCCGTCTGGGGATGGCAAGAGGTATGTTCTCCTTCTCATGAAATATCTTGTTGTGGAGCAGGAAAAGCTAACGTGATCAATAGGAGAAGAAGAAAGGCAAGAAGAAGTCTAAGTCAAGTGCCTCCGCCAGTGCAAGCGCTATTGGAGCAGCAATGACAGGTCAACCAGCTCCAGCATCGGCAACCACGACAGGATCAACAGCACAGATTTCTACCGGAGAAACTACACAACGAAATTTAGCACCAAGAGTTGAGGAGGTATTTGATGAAGAGTAATTGCGCGGTAAATGAATTTACTACGTGATATGATGTCTGCAAGACGGTTTTATGGATGGGCTGATGAATCGATCTATGGATGATCGGAAAATCACTGGTGTACAATAACTTTATGTGGATATTGGGAAGGAAATAATGTTCTTTTTCTTGATCCTAGATTTTTGATTTTACCTGCTTTTATTTATCTATCTTTGGTAGTGGTATTGTGACACTTAAACTTACATTTTGACAAGAGATTATCGACAATTGTAATTCAATTCTGACATAAAATACCAAGTGCAGCAGCCCTTTACATACAGTGTCTCGGCTT